CAAAGCATAACAATTAGGTGTTTCTCCGACATCTGCTTTTCTCTTTGATCTTTTCCACTGTTCAAATGCAAAAGAAAGCACAAGATGCTACATATTTCTCAAGAAATTTGTGCAAAATGTATTGCTGAATTCCAACACGCTGTATGTTGGGTACTACTGAAATTACTAAAAAAAACCTACCTCCTCTTGATTAAATTCCATGGCCTTTATCTACTGAGATTAATGACTACACATGTGAAATAAGCACATGCTTAAGTACTTGAATGTAGAGGACAATAAGAAAGATACTACGGGCACGAGAAATGGAGCAGATTAAATGGTTAAATGCACAATCTGCAAGGGCTTTTTATATAGATTCAATGACTAATATTAGCAACTTTTTGTTTCCTTTCAAAGGATGATATAATGCAAGCACAGGTATTCATGCAAATGCAATTTGGACTGAAATAAATTATGTATTCCTTTTTAATATGAACTTTATTATCATGATTAACCATACCCTTGCAAACTCACAAGACAAAAAACCCTTACCTGGTTTGCAAACAGATGATATTTTGCTTAACAGCATATGAATTTTTTCATCAGGCCAATCATGAAGGACACGTGAAAGAATGTAAAGATCTACTTCTGGAAGGTTATCCTCGAAGAAGTCACCTGTTAGAAAGCACAGTTAGTACCTATGAAAACAAAACAAACAAAAGAAAACGCACAGCCTGTGAAGGAACTGGAAAGAATTTCAGCTGAGGTAGAATAAGTGTGAAAAAACTGGTATAAGGATACCTGTAGCTAAAGAAAGTGTACTTGAAGAACAGATGATAGTTAAAAGTTCTGTAACATGCAAGAATGGAGAAAAAGACTAAAACAAGAATAGATAAAAGTCTTTTGCAGCCACATTAGTGTTGCCTAGATAAGTCTGAAACAAGAACTTGCAGCAAGCCTACACCTCCAGGTACCCACAAATATGACTAATTCACACTGCCTTATTTATCCACATTCTCCAACCATAGCAGTTGTTTAATTTGCCCTGCAGGCTTATGGAGAAGTACAGAACAACCCTAATTAGCTTGGGTAAACCCACATTGCCCTGTGTTGAACGACACACATTCAGGTTGGACCAGGACAACGCATTGCTTCCTACAGCAGATGAGGACACTGCTCCAGAGTAATAGAAATAAGAGGACAAAAAGTCATTTATTTATTTTTACATTTACCTGATACAAATGTCACTGGAGCTGTGCATTTTCCTGAGGACTGAAAGGAAGAGCTATTTGCAATGACTTCTGGAAGATCAAATATGGTAACCTTCATATCTGGGTATATTTGTACTAATTCATGAGCCAAAGCCCCAGTACAGCCTATTGGAAGCAGAGAGAGAATAAAAAGGAAAAAAAAAAAAAAAAGACAGAGAGAGAGATCAAGTCTTTTATCATTTTGTCATGGCATTTGGAAACACTTTTAAAGACAAAGCTCAATCTAGCTATTGGATAGCAGCATGGAGTTGGAAACAGAAGCTCCACAAAGAATATGGGCCATAGCACTTCCTAGTGGATAAATCTTAGTTCAGCGAACACAGGCTCCCTACCCTGCCATAGACCTGTTAGCATGATCTTTGATAAGTCACTGAACTGCCTAGTGGCTCAGTTTCTTTCCTTCTAAAAGGAGAAGGAAACCACCTTCTAATATGCAGATGCAGAACATTACAAGCACCATGGATCATGGATTCATCTCACTCCTCCACATGGTGACTGAGATGATGGTCTCTGGACAAGTGGCAAAGGATGCACCAATTTTGTCTTAAATCCTCTGACACTAACTAAAGTGTTCGTCCTTCACTGAGTATGTTCTCTACACAATATCACCTATTCCATGCAACTCCTGTAGGCAGTGAAAAAGAGCACTAACAAGCAGAGTTTTCTCGGATATATCACCGGTCTTCACAATTTTGGTGGTCATCTTTGAATATTAAGAATATAAAAGAAAAAATAAACCCACCCAATACAAACAAAACCTACAAAAACACACAAACTTAAATCCGTTCTAGAGGATTCCAAGTTTTGTTCTAATCACTTCAGCATTTCAAGTGTGACATCACCACATGGAATGATCCAGAAATCACTGGTGCTTCTGAAAATCCTGAGGAGATGCCAAAGGGCAGCAACAGTACAGCTGAAAAGGGAGTTCCTATCACAATACTTGATCAAGTGAGCCACAAACCTTCTGCTTCCTATGTTATCTGAGCTATGTCAGTACTAATTGTTACCAAACACATTTGAGTAATTTGATTATTTTAAGTAAATTGATGTTATATAAGCAACTCTGCTTTCAGCTAACTGCACTCAGTCCTTCTATTTGAGCACCACAATACCCAGACTGCTTTCAGCTAACTGCACTCAGTCCTATTTGAGCACCACAATACCCAAATATCACTACACAGTTTTACTCCAGTTTTAATGAAGTAATAAAATATGGAGATGAAATCAACTTTTCCCCTATAGTTTAGGGAAATACACAAAGCAATACCTCCTAAATCACAGGCAGACTTAAACTGTGAAAGATCAAATGCAGTAGCCACATCTCTTGCTGTCAGGTGGGCAATGCTGTGCATGGCAGCCATAAAGCGCTGCTTCACCTCCTGGTTTTGATAGTACTCCTATAATAAATAAAAACAATTTTTTTAAAAAGCCACACAATAGTCAAATTTCATTTTCATTGTTAAGACTAAACAGAACTAGTACTATGTCCAAGCAAGGCAATAGGGGTTATTTTACACCACTAACAGGAAAAAAATCTAAAACTGAATGATTAGTCAACGTGACATTATCCAAGTCCCTTCTTGGGGATCACAAGCAGTTTCATTGTAGTGAGAAGCATAATTTTACATCTTCTCCAAAATCCCAGATATCTTTTTCAAGGCTTTAAAAAAACAAACAAAAACCCCACACATTTTTAGATGCAGACTTGGAAAAGTCTCAAACAAGGTATCTCTAGACTTTAAATTTAAACTGGAAAGAACAGATTTGAGTTTCCATCGGTCTTCTGTTTTTCTGTTGGTTTTGGGGTTTTTATTATTTGTTTTTTAAATACACTCCCAAATTGCTTTCATTGAATTCTGACATTTATTCTCCCATGGCAAGAAAGTGACTAAGCAGTTGGACCATATTTTAAAATAGGGAGACTAAAGCTCATGCTTTGTTTTTTGACTAGGTGAAAAGTATTCAGCACCAGAACCTCATGCCTTTTAGCTCCCAAATGATGCTTACACCTCATCCTCATCCAGCCCTCAACTGCCTATGGCTTTACTAACCATGTAGTGGAACGAGCACCAGACACTGTCACCAGCACACAGAGGTAGCAGGTACATTCTGTCTGGACACCCTATCCTGCACACACATGGAGTCTAGGCCTAAACTGTCAGCAACTCCTGGTGGCAGGAGCTGGTGGCATTACCCAACCAAGGGCAGCAATCTGGGTAAGTAACTCAGGAGAAGATCCAGTTCACCTACCTTGAAGTACCTAACTTGCACATGAATTCAAGTGCCTACTGCAGCAGCCTTACTAAACCAAAGCACGTAAGTTCCCTTTTAAGCAGCCTTGGAAGGCCTACCCAAATATCTGTTCACCAGAAATCTAACACTAACATTAGGTTAACAGCATCTTCTTTTGGAGATTTTCAGAAGCCCTTAATTCCTGCCATCAGCTATACATAAGTAATGTAAATGTTTCTTTTAGGAAAAAAGGCTTCATCAGCATCTAAGATGCTAGATATAGTCCTAAGTGGCTCCCCAGTTCTAGCACATTCACCTGTGCTAGCATAAATGAAATAATGCTAAAGAGACGGAAACAGAGAGAATGTCTGCATTTCTCAGCAGGGGTATAAGCCAGCTTAAAGCATATACAAAATTATAGTCTAGATAAAATACACTGAATCCCTTTACTACTGCATCTGTACAAAATGACCTTAAAGAGGCTCTAAATATGCAATGAGCACATCCTGCACTGGATCTTTGCTCAGATCAGTAACGCGTGATCAGCTTTCAGTACCAGGAGGAGCATGTGTGACATGAATACTTGTAGTTACATAATGGATAGACATCAGTAAGGTAAATGTGCTCAGAGGTTGTTCTGGTAGTGTGCTAGTTAGACAGGCAAAACTTTAGCCAGATGATTTTTTTCAGCACTTGAACTTCCTAATATACTCTGCGACTGTTTAGACAAGTTCAAGCCTGAAGCGTGCACAGCTAAAGCTTAAAGGAACAGAAGGGTGCAACTGGAAAGTTAAATTCCTTGGTTCTAGTACCCAAATTCACCTATTTGGACAGTTCACTCTTCATTTTGCCCTAAATCAGGTTTTCCCCCCAAGTCCTTCACAACTACTTCTGATACAAGTAAGACTTTATACTACCTTAAATAAATCCTCCATTTTCTTTCCAAAGGCTCGATGGTTCTGCCTGGTTCCTTCTTTGACAGCAAATTCCAGGTTTGCGAAGAGAGGCCAAGTGTAGTCATTAGAGTGCATAATGTAGCCATGAAGGGAGTATTTACCATCTGAAGTCAGATAGGTATTTGTTGCATCTGTATTACTGTAACCTTATCAGAAGGAAAAGAAACTGTAATTAGCTTTCAGTGCTTGCAACTGTCAGTATTTGAAGGCATATTTTCATGTGCAGCTAGTAAACAGCAATGTTGGGATCATAGTATCTTCTTTGTACAACCATTCCTATGAAGTAGGTAAAATTCTCTCAACCTTACATGAACAGAATCCACTAAGAAATTTATTTTTTGCAAAAAAAATGCCAGAAGATAGACAGGCACTGATATTTTTTCCTCTTGCTAGAGGGTCTCATTTATATATCTGATACTGATTATTAGAAGTTCCTCATTCTTGGCTACATTTCTCCTCAATTATACCTCTTCCTTCCCTTAAATTCAAGCTTTCTCCATCATGTTTTGCACCTTTAGGGCTTTCTCCTTGGTCTTGTCCTCTAGAAATTTGGAAGACTTGCTTCCCCTTAGCACTTTATCTTTTCAAGGCTTACTGCTCAAGCAAAACCTACAGAAGTTTCTAAGCACACGCATAGACTAAAAAACTTAATTCTACTCCCTCACCTACATCCACCTTCAATCACGATACCAACTAAAGGCTCTAGCATTTAAATTGCAGGCCATGAAGATGGATATGTTCCAGTGCTCTCATTAATACTCAGATGCTCTGCTGAAGCTGGTGCTTCTATACTGCTACATCAGGAACAATAATTTAGTTCTCATTTTATACTATACATTTGGGTCATTTACACTGTTCACTAGAACTGCTGACACGGATTTTTTTTTTTTTTTAATTTGGCAGTGACCAGTACTGTGTCCACTGAGGAAGTGGAGTACAGCACCCAGATGTCAGTGTCACCAGTGATCTCAGGATCACAAGAAAGGGGGCTTCAGGCATTCTCACTCAAATCTGCCTGCCCCTCAAATAAACCAATTTCAGCTTCCACCATTTCGCCAAATCCAAGTTACCCACAACATCACCTTGGTCCCCAGGATACAGCAGTGATTAAAGCTTTTTTTTTTTTTTCTCCTCTCCAGTGCTATACTCAGTTAGAAGAACCTTTCTCCCTGACTCATGAGACCAATGAGGTAAAAAGCACAGCTTCACCAATTTGATCCTTCTTCTTCCCTCCCCTTTATATATAAAAGCACAAGAAGTCACCCTGAGGTGTTTTCTTCAGCAATCCAAGGGCAGCACATGCATCAAGGAGTCTTTCTGTCCCACACAAGGAAGCTCCCATCTCATTTGCAATATCCGCAGCATTTAGTGAACCCTTCTCTTTCAGGTGATCAAACACTTTTAGCTTAGAAGCTACAAACAGAGCCTGTGTGTGAAAAGTACTAGTTAATCAGCTACATAAAAAACCTGCAATCAAGAAACATAACTCTACCTTTTGTCATAAACAAGCACATCCTAAAACCATTATTCCTAACACAGCTGTGTAAGAATTGTTACAATTCCTAACTGTTACGATACGTTTTCTTTCCTCTCCTACCAGGTTTCAGTATCTTTAGCTGAGTGAGAGAAATGGGAACTTGAAAGATACTAGAACAATCTAGAGATTTTGTACTAAGGGGATCTATTTTTTCAGATATTCAGCCAATGGCTAGCTATAAGCATGTTCCACAAAGTCAAATACATATATTTTTCAACTGATGCTAAAGAAAGGCCATAATTGATTTACCTGCAAATGTAAAGAACTGAAAAGCCCTAAGAAAGCACTGTAACAGCTCCATTTACTATAATAGATTGGTCTTTGCTTAGCTTGCAGGAGTAGACTTAGAAGCGCAACTCTACTGTATTGTGACCCACAGAAGGACAGATACATAAGGAATGGAGACAGGATAGTTATTGCCTGACAAAAAAAAAAAAAAGAGAGAGATGAAAAAAAGCACCCAACAACAGAAACACATGTAATGCAGCTGAGTATGTGGAAAAAAACTCAGCTGAACTTGCAGAGAAATAATTCCCATTGACTCAACATGAGACTCCAGCCCGAAGTCCTAGCGTGAAGGATCCATTACTGTGAAAAGAAAACTTTCACATTACTGTGAAAACTCCAGCATTATGATTCCAGTGAACACTAATCATAATATGCATAAGCAAAATGCTAATGATTCTCCACATTTTGCATTTAACTTTGAGAAACACTATGTAGTATCCTACTCCTTAAAATGCATCAAAATATATTCCCTATGAATGCACCATGCTTGAAGAACCTGGCACTAGCCCTGGCAATTTCTGCTAATACAGCCTGCAGCTGCTACCCAGCTAATTTTCATTACCTGAACAAAACAGGTTTCAATTCACTTAACTGCATTTTGCATATAACTTAGTTAATTCCTCCAATTTACAGCCTAATACTGCCTCCTGCAGTACCTGAACACACTGCAGAAAGTCTCTTAACGTTCTTCCTCCTCAAATCAGAAGATCAATATCATGCGTATAGTTCAACAGAAGAAAGCCAATACTGAAAATTGGCAGAAAACACTTTGCCATACTAGGAGTTTCAGTTATTTTAGTTATAGACTCTCTATAGCTTATACTTGGTTATTAAGATATCCTTGCATAAGTTCAAATATTTCACATATACCTGCTAGTATATGCTAAAGTTCAATGAAACAATCATACATTAGTGGGTACACTAGTAAGTAGTATTTTTGGAGGAGTCTGTTTTTACCTTTGAAGCTTTAAAACCATCCATCAGCTCTAGAATTGTAGACGGAACTTTTGCTGCATTTTCCAGCACTCCATTCTGATTTTCCGAGGGCACCACAAAACCAGTTTTGACACAGTAACAGTCTTCTGAATTGTATACAGGCCCTGAAGGATGTGTGCTACTATTGTCCAACTTGTTAGCACCTTTATGCCCTGCAGAATGTGAAGATTCACTTTCCCCATCACTTAGGTTCTCAAAAGTGTCCACAGAAGGGATAGAGTCATGCTTTGTATGTTGTATGCTATGTTTAGGAGGCGGACAGTACAACTCTACTAGCTTTTTGCAGAAGTGATTCAGAGGAAATCCCACCACATTCAAGAAGTCTCCATGGACATACTCTACTAGCATTCCACCGAGGGCCTGGATTCCATAACCACCAGCTTTGTCCCTGAAAAAGATGAAAAAAGCTGTGCCTAACTACAGTAAGGACAGAAATTAATAGTAAAGACAGTACAAAGTAACCCACTAGTAGAGCAGAATCTGACATAAAAACTAGCTGGCTCAAATTAGAATGGATTAAAGCTGCTAACTAGGCTCAACATTTCAACTCACGAATTGCAATATACACATAAGGATTGAGGAAAGATAAACATCAGAGACTAACATTGACAGTGAGTCACCCGCAGAACAGCTCTAGTCCTGTTCCATAACAGGACAAAGATACTCAGTGATTTGTCAGCCCCAATAGGACTCAGACTGAAGAAAACATCTTCAATCTCAGAAGACTAAGGTATGTGTCTTTTGGCTCTCAGTCATGCCAGGATCAAAAACAAAGGAAGTCAGGTTGCTCCTCTCCAAGAGTCCTGTTCAAATACAAAATCTACTGCTGTCCTCTCAGCTATACTCAAAGCTTTGTGCAATTCCTGTGTAACCTCAATGAGAACAGCAAAATTATGGTTTTCTACATTGTTTTCTTAGATGTCACGTAATACAAATGATTTGGCACAAGTATGTATTTCAAGGTGAGTAGTCTTGGACATCTAATTTCTCTTCAGACAAGTATGCAAATTCCACTGTATAGAATGGAACTGAACACATGACCAGCTGTGACAGTATCAAGTTAGCAGTTTTTGTAAAGCACAGTTCAACCCACAACAGAGGGCAAGAGAAGCAGGACTGAGTCTTTTTTAACCTCTTTGGAAAAGCAAGAGGTAGAGGCCCAGTGAGCCTACACACAGCATGGAATCAGTGAGAGTCCTGCTTCCATTTGCCAATTAAACAAATTGCAAAGCAGTTGGGGGGCAGGTACAAGAAACAGATTTGTTGATGAGTTTTGCTTAATGAGGCACATTTTCATGCTGCAGCAATACAATAAATCAAGACAACATTCAGAATTAGTTTGTGGGTAAAGAGGGTGCAACTTGCCTTAATTCTGTAAGCCTGTACCTCCTGTACACATAGACTGGTATTTTTCATCTTACATTCTGCAACACCCCAAAATCTCAAGTTGTCCATGTACTCTTGGAATAATTACAACCTAAAAGACCTGTTTACTTACATCCTGTGACTCTGAAGGAAACAACTCTGAAACATTTATATTCCACATTTTATTACTTCGTAACTAAATCCAAGGCTGTTCTGGGCTCTGTACTCATCTCTTTCAAATTGAATGACATCCTTTTGGTTTAATTGCCACTACTTAGAGCAACAAAGCTACCAAAAAAACACATTTATCTTCAGATATGTATGAGCAGAGACAGAGAAAGCTGTTCACAAGGAAAAGATTACAGAATAAAAACTAGGCCAAACAGGATAGCAGAAACCAAGTCTATTCATTACACAAGCCAGAAATATTTAGAATCACTCTGACACATCCCTCTTGCTACAAACAGCCAGAAAGCAAGAAACCTTGCCAGACAGAAAAACCCTTGAACAGAAAAGGGAGTGAGAAAAAACAAAAAAGGAAAAGTCAATCTTCCTGCAGGCAAATGCTGGAGGATTTTAGTAACAGCCTACCTCAAAAACAGTCTTTATCTCCTGCTTATTTTCTAGTCTTAAGGCAACAATATGCTTTTAAAATTAGTTCCCATCTCTCACCAGTGATTTATTACACAATATTCTATATGCCATTTTTTGGCAATGCTATAACAATTAATCCAATCTTCAAAATCACAGAATTGTGTCTTTTTGTCAAGTGAAGACTTCATGATTACACAAACAAATAATTTATATTTGTATTTTAAAATATTAACAAATGGCCATTTGAACTGCAATAGTGATTTAAAAGCCACAGGCACATATGTACTTCTTGTACAAGCATACAACCCGCATGGTTGGCTGCACGAAAGCATGGGTTTTGCACAGTGTTTTGCAGAATTTACCCTTATAGTTCTTCCATTCACCTACTTTTGTTTGAATGAGTATCCTCTAACTATGTGTCGTGAGAACCAGTATCCAAGTTCGCTGAATACCTCAGATAACAGAGATGATTGTATACTGTTAAGAGTACTTGCTGTAGAGTATTTCAGTCTTCATTTTTCAAGTTTGTTAGGGTAGCAAAAAGGTAATTAACTTTCCCTCACGCAATGCTAGTCCCAGACAACAAGAGCAGAAAATCCATGTTGCATCACCCATGCTATCATCTACCACACACACAGCAAAATGCTGAACAATACAGGAGAGGCTAGTAAAGTACTCTATCCCTAACCCTTGTGTGCTAGCGTCAGGCTCTTACATTGGCTCCCCACTATGAATGTATTCCCATAAAAGCTCTTCAGACAGGTCAGAAAATTTCACTTTAGTCTCTTCGTAGAAATCAGTGACTTCCATCTCCAGCTGATTATCTGCAAAGGGAGAAAGATTTCACTACAAACAAACTATAACATGAAGGTAATTATTTAGAAAGCTAACATACCTGATTTAATTCCACTTCATAGCCATTTGACAATTTTGCTTAGGAAACATTAAAGGTAGATACTGAAGAAGTATATGGAATAACTAATAGTGTTCTTCAAGGACGGTAATATTATATCTATTTACTTCCCTCTGCATATACTACTTTATTAACATGTTATTATACATATTACTTAATAAAAAATGTATTGGTGGGAGGGGAAGGGATTTTCTACACCTTTGCAGCTATATCTCACAGTCTACCAGGTTACTGCTCTTGATGCAGTCCAAGTTAAGTACATAGCAGAGCTATTATGGGTTGCTTTTATATGTATTTTTATATACACCTCTCAACACTGAATATCGGTATCTCTACTCTTAAAGAGGTTTTAACAATGATGCATTGTTAAGAATTTCATATACACCTAGATGCACAACTGCATCTGTATTGCAGACTGTCATCTAGCAAGTCTTTCATTAATAATCTTTATGACTGAAATTACAGTTAAGCCTTCGTATCATTTTTCAAGACATCAGGTATTTCAAACTTCCAGATTTGCCAACAGTCATGAGAAAGTCAGAGGTGACCCAAAGTGTTACACAACTGGCTATGGCCCCCAGTTGTGGCCCCCATATGCATGGGTACACCCCAAAACTGGGATTACTGCAGAGAGAGGCCGTTACAAAGAATGTTCCAAAGAAAGTAGCCCCGAAAAAATGTGTATGCAATTGGCTACTAACATGTTAAAAAATTACTGACTGCCTCTTCCCTGCAGGAAGAACAGCATCTCCTGTTACTGCTGTGCAGATCTCTAGTTATCTTTTTTGTAGCAGTGGAAATTCTTCATGCAGAGGATGCAAGAGATCCACAATACAGATCAGGAAAAAAAAAAAAAACCCACATACACATACATTAGCAGACACACACTCAATAACCTAAGTTAAAGAGTTGTTATATAGGAAGATTGATTTAAAATATTCTTTCAATGTTGATAAAGGTATCAGTTCAAGAAAGTTCACCTGTTTACATATATGTAGTGCTTAATAGCAATATTATAATTACCAGCTACAGAAGGTAGAGAAATCTTTCATTAATCACACTGCCTGAAGAATATATGCTGATTACATTTTTACTCAACATTGTCTGTTTTGCCTTACTGTTTTAAACTTCAAATGCATTTTGTAGTCACAGAACCAACAGTACAATTGTGTATGGTTTTAACTTTCCTTTCAGAGTAAAAAGGCCTTTTTTTTTTTTGCCCTGTATTTTTCTTATGAAACCCTTGATCATTTTTTCCAGCAGTTTCTTATTGTGAGCACATCTAAGGGTACTGGACCATTGGAATTATTTTTGTTTAAAAAAATAAAAGTAATCATTCCAATAAATACTTTGTAAAGAATGTCAAGAGCAAAAAGAGTATGTCCACTGAAATTTGGGACAGTAGCCTTGCAAAGTCCTGTTACTGGAACCTTGGTATGAAATTATATGAAATCCCTCAAACCAAACAATGCTAAGAGTAAATTAATGATCCAGTGCTCATTAAACCACTCATTTACTACCTAAGTTATCTATTCAGTACAAAATGTACTCCCTACAGTTCATTAGGAGATAGAAACATTAAACAAACAGTAACTCCAAACACAGCAACCTCTTGCAAGCATCAGCAAGCATAAGCAGAACATAGCAAGAAACTATTATGACCAGGTTCTGCTCAATCTTGCATTCTTTAGTACCTTGCTTACATTTCATTTAGGACATTCCCACAAGTTTACATTGTCTAGAGTAGTGCTTTCAGAGACCATACTTGTAAAGGCTACTATATTTTGTCACCCTCTTTCCTTTGCGAAAACTGAATGCAATAGAAAGATTGGATTTGGTGGGAAATATCCACACATATATATACATTCATAAGGTAAATTTCATCTCAACTGGGAAGCCAATGCAGGCTGCTTATGATAAGTTTTCTCCCTGTTTCTTCACTTGCACAAATAATCTTTATGAAAACAATCCAACCTTTTTTTCATAGAACACTGAATTTCAATAAAGTAACACATGTACCTTTACTGCTGCAATGTATTATAGCCACTCCTGTGAAAACACTGTGTTCTTTCCCACTCAACCTATCAGGGAAAAGTGTACATTAGGCAAGAGTTTTATGAAATTTGTCATCTGCAGAAGTCTTACACATGACTATGTTACTTGAAAAAAACAGACCTCTATATACATAAACCATTCAATGGCTCTGAGATGCATTCTAAACAAACAGATTTTATTTCTAATTTTAACATAGTTGAAAAGACACTATAAAAAAAAAATCAGAAAAATACCATGAAGATTCAACTATTTCAAATCTTCCTCCTATCAATATCCAAAATTCACTGTCTACAGCATGGAAAAGTATTCAGTGATACACATCTATTTACCATACATTAGGAGAAGTAAATATCTCAAATGCATTGGGAAGGGGGAGTGAACACTCTATCGCTACACGCAACTTTAGTGAAAGTTCACAATAAAGAGCTCGTATTTATACACCTTAGATTAAATAAGTGGTAGATGACTACTGCTTATGTATTTGATTCATCTAGATGATTTAGTAATCCACGAATGATGCATTCAGCTTCCAGCTGAGCCTACTGATGGGCAGAAAGCCCGAGGTAACAGGGTCTCTCTCACTGTGCCTTCAAAGTGCTACACTGGTCCTCATTAACTCTGTAGGCTTTTTACATCTAATGGATGCATCTTATGTATCTAATGAATAAACAATGTAAGTGTAATAAGTATGAGAACTTGAGTTGAAGAGACTAATTAAGCACCCAGCTCATTAACATGTATAAATACAAAAAATCAGAATGGGACAAGATAAAAGTATGTCTAACTTTTTCCAGTGGCAAAACAGGCTTGTACTGTTTAGGAAAATAACATGAAAGCTTTGTGGAATTTTGCAAGGAATTTGTACAGCTCCTGCTATAATAACTTAACCTACACATTTGGAATCTTACTAGAAGAGCAAACCTTGACAGCATCCTATATGCATCTTGCTTATCAACTGGTTTCTCCAGGATCTGCTCATCCACAGTCTGAAAACAAAAAGATATTCTATTAATTATTTCTTTCTTTTCTGAAACTGAGGAAGGACAAAAGACTTTGAAATTGTAATTTCAGCCCAGCCTTCAAACACGAGTCTACTGAGTAGAGTAAGAACCACAGATACTGGAGCAGACAGTTCAATGACAAGCACATGAGTGTAACTCTACAAACCTGCCCCCCTCCACTGTCAGGAGCTTCAATAAACAAGAGGTTAATACAGCTCCTCTATTCATCCATTGTTCAGTCTTTGCAAACCACAAATATAACAGTATGTGCTAAGGAACACATCAGTAGACAGTTTACATGATTTCAACTTCCTGATGGTCAACAGCTGCCCAAATAGAATATCACATACTAGTGGACCTGAGGCACTACTTGTGTCTCTGGAAGAGACATAACAATTTTTGTGACAAAGCTGTTTTGACATAGAACCTGCAGGTATTGCAGGGATGATTTCTCAGTGAAAAGTCTTTTCCCAAGTTTAGACTCCAAGGTACAAGCATTTTATGTACTTGTCATACTAAAACAACACTGAAATACAAAAAGCTTCTTACCACAATAGTGTCTGCTCCTATAACAATATCAGGAGTTCTAAGGTGTTTCTGCAGAGGTAAAGAAAAAGAAGAAAAAGAAGAAATTTCTCAAAAAGCAATAAAAAAAGCAAACAAGCCAAGTACGTATTCATATTCAAGCTAAGAAAAGGTAAGTTCACTGATCTTCATTTACAGCTCTAAGATAACCTGAAAAGGACTCATTCTATTTCTTCTTTTGTACCATTTACAAGATGATAACCATTTATATTACTGTAAAAGTGCTGAACACAGGAGGCCTGGGCAGACCTTTCTCAGGTCACAATTGTGCCTAAGTTACTGATGAACAAATGTAGCCAGGAAAGAACCAGTTTTTCATTATTAACGTGGCAACTAGAATTCCTTTCTAGCAAATGTTCTGTGTATGGCAATCAGAGATAAAAATGAGACCAGACAGCTTTAATCCTGTTTGCTTTGTCAAGGCTTGCTAGAGAACCTTTCTTTAACTACTTCCCCCCTGCTCCAAGAAAAAGACATCATAAGGGATCACAAACTGTCCATTTTGGTAAACTAAAAACAGGGGTAGAAGATTCTTTTAACTCTTTCTTTCTGAGTTTTAAACTGCAACCTGTCCTTATTGTTCAGTTTTGATTTATGTATTATGACATACACAGTGATTATTTAGCATGGAGGTACTTTTCTCCGTAACTGTAATCACTAAATAAAAAAGATGACTTATGTCGACATAATTCCAACAATCATTTCTCTAAATCTAGTAGAAAGAAATGCCTTAAAATTATTATCATTAGCATAATGTTTTGCAATGGAAGTTTACTATAAGTGAACTATCTAGGTTTAAAAATCCACCCCGCTAATGTCACACCATTGTGAAAATAACTCGACAGAAACCTGGTAACTATTTACTTCAGAGACCATGTAATATTTGCTTTGAGGAATGGTGGCATCTGGCAACAGCGATGGTTTAAAGTGTTAAACATTCCTTTTCTGGCACCAGGATTGGCTTGAAAGGTACAGTCCACTTTCCGAGATGTATCATTAAGAAATTAGCAGCTTATGGCATATTTTATGGGACCTTATTATGTGTGGGATCTCATTATGTGGGCTTCTGAATAGGTCCTTATACAGAACAGCCTGATGCACTGATACATGATCAAGGGTAAGGGCAGAGGTCAAATATCAGCACACTGATATACCGCATGAGCTGCATAACTGGCTTCTGATATTTGGGAAACGGAACAATTGCCTTGAATACAGTCATGTTAGCTTCCCCCTTCTTAATAAAGGATCTCTTTTTTTTCTCTCTCTTCTGGAGTACTTTATAGTGGATAGATTTTTGTGTCATCTTTCAGCATTCCTTCAGCACCTTTTTATTCATGAATCCTCTTTTCTTGCAACCACTGTTCAATGACAACTACAGCAAAGCACTGGATTCAAAACTGTATTTTGTACAGAATCTGCCCCCATAGTCAATAAAATACCTGGAAGGGAGAACCACTGAGATAAGAGCTAATGACCCCAGACACAAGTCATATACTTGACTGTTGCAAGGAACTCGCAGTTGTACATCTCGAGTCAGCGTGGGCACGCTGCTGATACTTGCTTCTACTGGGAAGAAGCACCTTTAAGAAGTGTGTGCAAATTAAATCAGTAACACACATGGAAAGACAATATCTAACTGCTGGAATAGCTGATCACTTACTACATGCATTCTGTTTGCTACTTCGAGAGCTTTCTGTTTTGCTGTTTCTATGGCATACTCATAAGGAGCTGCAAAAGATGACTTTTCAAGAGTCTCCTTAAACCAGGATGGAACAATCTCAAACCGTAGACCCTGCAACAAAGAAAGGAAAGCCATGCAGTCAATCTGTAAAAGCTAGATATTAAACAAGTGAAACAAATTTCGTTATAGCTCTTCCTAAACCTTTACTTCCCCTCCATATAAGAGGGATTGTCCTTCAATTTTATTATTTTACATATATGTATCCTGTAAAAGCAGTGCAGAACAAGAAGTGCCCTCATCTGAATCAACTTTTGCAATGGCATACTTATTTTATGCTTACTATTTATGAGAATGTAATCATGTAATTCCACTGTTCTTGTCTATAAGGGACAGCATTTACACACTCCACAATTAGCCTAAACCACACTGAGTTCATCCTAGGCACTTTACTCATCTTATATCAGTACATGCTAAAGTCTAGCTACACATAATTTACATTTTATTATAAAATATGGTTATACAGAAATCAAGAAAAGCCAGTACCTGCATGGAGTTTTGTGATGAAAAACCTTGTTCTGCCTCCTTCCCACCACTAAGTTCACTGCACCAGTAGACAGGGTTTGTTTCTAATAAGAATTCAGTGCATATTTTCTGTCTCTGTGTTACCCTCCACTTTGTGTGTCATAACACATCTAGTTTGCGTTTTCTTAGGTATTGCTCACAAAATGCATACTCAAGCACTATTTAAAAAATTCAACTTCCAGCATGGCCTGTGTGTTTCTCTCCATAGCCCAAGTTTGGATTTACAATTCCTCTGTAGTCAATACATATCAAAAGTGCTTTATAGAAACTATGAAACTTGTGCTAAACCCTCCCAAACTCCTCTGATATGTCCCAAAAGCAATCATGGTGGCACAGCACTTAGCAGCCAGAGCAAACCCTTCACTTGCTCTATTTCAGGCCCTTCCCTTCAGCAGG